TCTTGTAGGTGTAGGTCTCTGTCTGAGGGTTTGGAGCATATGCGGTTGTACCTCAGTGCTTGGCTGTAAACAATGGATCGTGTGGTGTGTCCGGGATGGAAACTGGAGGCATGCAGGTAAGTATAGCGGTCGGTAGGTTTTCTGTATAGGGTGGTATTGATATGACCGTCACTTATTTGTATCGTGGTGTCCAGGAAATGGACCTCCCGTGTAGATTGGTCCATGCTGAGGTTGATGGTGGGGTGGAAGCTGTTGAAATCATGGTGAAATTCTTCCAGAGTCTCCTTCCCATGGGTCCAGATGATGAAGATGTCATCGATGTAGCGTAGGTAGAGAAGGGGTGTAAGTGGACGAGAGCTGAGGAAGCGTTGTTCCAGGTCAGCCATAAAAATGTTGGCGTATTGTGGGGCCATGCGGGTGCCCATAGCAGTGCCACTGGTCTGGAGGTATATGTTGTCACCAAATCTGAAATAGTTGTGTGTGAGGATAAATTCACAGAGTTCAGCCACCAGTTGTGCTGTGGCATCATCAGGAATACTGTTCCTGACAGCTTGTACTCCATCTGTATGTGGGATGTTTGTGTAGAGAGCCTCTACATCCATGGTGGCTAGGATGGTGTTTTCTGGAAGATCACCTATGCATTGTAGTTTTCTCAGGAAATCCGTAGTGTCACGGAGGTAACTGGGAATGCTGGTGGCGTAGGGTCTGAGCAGAGAGTCCACATAGCCAGACAGTCCTTCAGTGAGAGTGCCAATGCCCGAGATGATAGGGCGTCCGGGATTTCCAGGTTTGTGGATCTTGGGTAATAGATAGAACAACCCTGGTCGGGGCTCTAAAGGTGTGTCGATTTGTTCCTGTGTTTGTTTGGGGAGTGTCCTGAGCAGATGGTGCAGTTTCTTAGTGTATTCCTTAGTGGGATCTGAGGAAAGAGACCTGTAGAATTTGGTATTGGAGAGTTGTCTGGCAGCCTCCTTTAGGTAGTCAGGCCTGTTCATGATGACAACAGCACCACCTTTGTCAGCCTCTTTGATTATAATGTCGGAGTTGTTCCGGAGGCTGTGGATGGCATTGCGTTCTGCACGACTGAGGTTACCAGGCAAGTGATGCTGTTTTTCCACAATTTCTGCCTGTGCACGTCGGCAGAAGCATTCTATGTAGAGGTCCAGACTGTCATTTCGGCCCTCAGGAGGAGTCCATGTGGAGTTCTTCTTCTTGTGCTGTTGGTGGGAAGGTATCTGTGTGTCAGTGCCCTGTTCAGTGTTGGAAGTATTCCTTGAGATGGAGACGGTGAAAGTAGGCTTCCAGATCACTGCAGAACTGTATCATGTTAGTGGGGCTGGCGGGGCAAAAAGAGAGTCCCTGAGATAAAACAGATTCTTTTGCCGGGATGAGTGTGTAGTTGGAGAGATTGACAATATTGCTGGGTGCGTTAGGGGTACCACTGTTGTGGCCCCATGTGGCAGGTAGGATTTTAGACAGCTTACAGTCCTTTTTCCTCTGTAGAGAAGTGAAGTGTGTAATGTAGATCTCCTGTCTTATTTTAGTAAAGTCCACTTGTGCGGAAGGTTGGTGTTTTATGAGAGACTCCAGATTGGAGAGCTCTTTTTTGATGTTTTCCTGTTTGCTGTACAGGATGCTGATCAGGTGGTTCCTCAGTTTTTTGGATAGTATATGGCATAATCTCTCAGGGTATGTCTACACTACCCCGCTAGTTTGAACTAGCAGGGGTAATGTAGTCATCCGCAATTGCAAATGAAGCCCGGGATTTGAATTTCCCGGGCTTCATTTGCATAAAGCCGGCCGGCACCATTTTTAAATGCCGGCTAGTTTGAACCCCGTGCCGCGCGGCTACACGCGGCACGAACTAGCTAGTTCGGATTAGGCTTCTAATCTGAACTAGCTGTACTCCTCATTCCACGATGCATGTAGTGGAAATTTCCAGAGGCAGGTATAAATATGCAGGCCAGGATCAGGCTGGAGATGACAAGGTGGATCCAATCAAGGAGGATGAGGCCCCCTTCTTGCAGCTGATCTGGAGGTGAAAGAGCAGAAGCTGCTTTTGTAGTTAGCAAGCCATTCACAGCAACTGGAAAAACTTAAAAAACAACAAGTAGTCTAGCAGCACCTTAAAGACCAACAAAACATGTAGATGGTATCATGAGCTTTCATGGGCACAATCCACTCTTCATCTGAAGAAGTAGGTTGTGCCCATGAAAGCTCATGATACCATCTATATGTTTTATTAGTCTCTAAAGTGCTGTCAGACTATTCTTTGTTTTTAATTATGAGAGGAATTAGAATAAGGGGTGTGGTGGATTCTCTTCCACTGATGATTTCAAAACCAAAATTAGTTGTTTTTCTAAAAGTTCTGCTCCAGGAATTATTCTGGGGAGGTTCCATGGCCTGTGCTATACAGGAGGCCAGACTAGATGACCACTTCTGGCCTTAGACTTCATAGAAGTTATTGCTTCCGCATTTGCTATTCCTTCTTATTTGAATACTTGTTAATACATGTGTGCAGCAAGAAATTCTGATCCACCAAACACTCTCATGTTTGCAGTCTTCTCTTCATGGCTATGCCTGCTAGGACTGCATATAGTTGTCTGTCTACATTTACATGAGCATTGATTGTGAATGCCCATGAGACATGCAAACAACTAATTAAACAATAACCAAGAGTAATGGAAATAAAGGAAAACTCATGAGCAAACCTGTTTTCAAGAGATGTGCAGCTCCATTTAATGAATGTCAGAGATATTGATATATGTTTGCTAATATATCATATTTATACAGTGTCTTGCACAATGGGATTCTACATCATTGCAGCCATTAACACAATATAAAGATTAAGTAATAATGATATCAATCTAAAATGTGATTGCTTTACAAAATTAATCTTTTGAACTTCTTGAGATGTTGGGTCAGATTTTCAACTTGAGCAAGTCATTGACAATTTACACCATCTGCATAGCTGTCCTGCTAGAGTTAAACATGGAGATGACAAACTTAAAAAAACAACAGAGTCTGGTAGCACTTTATAGACTAACAAAACATGTGGATGGTATCATGAGCTTTCGTGGGCTGTGATAAAGTGGGCTGTGCCCACGAAAGCTCATGATACCATCCACATGTTTTGTTAGTCTATAAAGTGCTACCAGACTATTTGTTGTTTTTTTAAGTTTATCCTATACAGACTAACTCGGCTACCCCTTGAAGTTCAAGGAGATGATAGCTATTTAGCGGTAATATACCCAAATAGGAACTTCATTTACATAGGGGGAAATTAAATTTAATATTGAATTATCTAATATCATGCATACAAAATGTGCCTGTGCTCAAAATTTCTTGTTTGGGCATCCATATGAATATCTTCTGGGAACATTTAAGGCACCAAATTGTTGGACAATTTGGGTATCCATAATAACACTACAATAATAATATTCCTTATCCTTGTGTAACTCCTTTCATTTCAAAGTGCATCAACAAAAGCCAATCATTTGAGTCTTACAACATATGTAGGGAAGACTATTGTACATATGGCACCTCTCCCCACCCCGGTGAAGCCTAAAAGTCTCGGTGTCCAGTCCCATGCACTAACCATTGAATATCACTTCCTCGCTATAAATTCATGTAGTGCTTCTCCAGCTGAAGTACTGCAAACTAGTGCACTAGCACGTTCAGTAAGGGATAATATATAGTGTATAAACTAATGATGAGTCCTCTTTAGAAAGTTTTCCATTCCCCGTGTCCTGTGAATATTGCACATCTTGTTTATGACATCACAAAATATTTATACTGAATTTTTGAGGGGCTTTGTCTTACAGAGTGCTCCAAATTTCCTACTCCTAGTAACTCATTCAGCCTGACATTGAATGATCTGCAATCCCTGGCCCCCTAATACTGGACTGCTGGCTGCTAGCCACTGTCTGCTGGCCACTGTCTGCTGCTGCTACATTCTTCATGGCCTCAATATTGTACCCTTAGCTTTGCTTTATGAGTGGCAGAACCATTCTGTGCCTAAATAATTTCAATTTATATGCTATTAAATCTGAAACAGATGGCTCTCTGGCCCTCTTTCACTTAGTCATGCTGTTTCTGTAGTTTCTCAGAGGCAGAAGTTCAGGTAACTGAGCTTTTTGTGAAGTTATAAGCTTTGCTTTGGAACTTGTATGTTATGAGCTTTGCTTTGGAATTTGTATGTGTATAAGAAGGGGAGAGAAAAAGCCAGAGCAAGGGAATAAGTGAGAAGGAGCAGGGCTTTTTGAGTATCTGTTGCAATCCACAATGAATGAACTAAGTACTTCTCTTTTATGCTGCTGCTTGCATGCCCTGTATTCTTACCAACACAGCTCAGTGAGAAACCACTCTGTAGAGGCATTCCCTTGGACTATTCTGAGCCCTCCCTTAGTATGCTGCATTCATGCAATGTTGCCTGAGTTACCAGGTCAATTCCTTATACCTAATCATTGCCTATTTGTATTGCCTATTAGTGGAATATTGATGTTTTAAAATATACATACCATGATCAGCATAAAATAGTATTAGAACATCAAGATGAATTTAATCAAATGAGGCTGAGGAAAAAACTGTATGAGAAAAGATAGGAACTACCAAGGGGGGAAATGGTTTGTCTTTTGCCTCTTTGTTGTATAGAAGCTGTGGGTGTGACACAATATCCTAACCACCTACATTAAAAAGATGCCACCCAATCATTGTGTGTTCTGTGCAAAACTCCTTCCCTCCCATTTTGGCTTGGAAGAGACCCTGAGAGAGACTGCCCTTTCTGGATCATACAGACTGTAACATATAAAAGCTGTTAGTAACTCCTGTAGCCAGCAGCTTTCAAAACTAGCAGAGTTTTGTTCTTTGAGGGTTTGTAATAAGACACAACCCTCATTACAAGGGTTCAGACTACAACATAAGAAAGACTTGTATAAATTGGGATCACAATATATTGTATTCAGTTTTGGTATTACACAGAGGTAAGCCATTCAGCTCAGTAAGTTTGCTTTGCATGCATTTTTATTTCTGTTCATCGCATTTTGATGGAGTAATATTTGAATATTATTACTAAAATGTGCTATTTCCATTATTTCTGTGTCCTTTGCCTGTTAGTTTGTATGTTAGGCATTATCAGAGCCATGAATACAAGAGGTAAAAGACATGCCCTGGAATATATTTTTCATTCTCAGTAAAGAAAATTCTGTGAGTTTCCTTACAGTCTGCATAGCTAGAACTAAGTATATGGTATGTAGTACAAACTGATGGTGTGTATTAGTACAGTCATAGTTCAGAAAATGTATCTGTGGGGGGATATGATGGTACTTTATTTGACCTTAGTTTTTAAAAGTTCATATTAAGGTTCACTTGCATACACTGTGGTATAAAAGAATAGCCCTAGATTGCTTTGAAACAGTGATTTGATCGATGTGTGTACAGAATCAAATCTTTTCACCCCTTCTCTTCCACAGATCTGCTCTCCTGCCTTACAGCTGAGCAACCCTGTGGCCTAGCTTCCTCCCTTGGCCCTAAAATGACAGCAATCTCTGCAATCAGCTGTGTTTTCTTATTTTTCATTCTATGTGAAACAAGTGCAATAGCATTACCCAATTCCACTGACCTATTCCTCTCAAACAAAAATTTCACTGACTTTGAAGCAGCTTTGGCAGCTCACTTGGACTCCGGAAAAATTCCCAAAGTCAGGCGGAAGCGATACATTTCACAGAATGACATGATTGCCATCCTTGATTTTCATAATCAAGTCAGAGGCAAAGTCTTTCCACCTGCTTCAAACATGGAGTATATGGTAAGTGAACTTTCATTTATTTCTGAGGGGAATAACATTTCATCAAACCTGCTGGAAAATATCAGAGACTACAAATCAGTGACTTCATTTTCCAGAGCCAAGCCAATATTTTTTTAGTTCAGTAGGCAAATAATTTGAAACCACTCTATGGTTTTACTCTAATGGGGGAGCACGTGTTAGCTGAAGTATTGTAATGAATATTTAATAAGAGCTAAAAAAAACCAAATTGTGAAACCTTTGCTCACCCTGGTGAACATTTATTTTTACAAATACTTCCAATAAAGACAATGGGATGAAGGGTTACTGATATGAGTCACTGCTCACCAAGGCAAGGGATACAAAATCTGTAATAATTAGGGTCTAAATAAACTGGTTAAGATCCCATTTACTAATAGTTTAATTACTGAATTGCTAGGGAGCACACTAAGTCATATCACTGATACCTTTTTTTAAAAAATGCATCCCATGGACATTGCTTGACTCTTCCACATATATTATGTGCAGAGATTGATTTGTCAGGAGATCATGAGTTTCATTTTGCATGCATATTTTGTGTTCATATAATGGTTTTATTTCTCTGTAAGATACCGTACTTGTTTAAAATATTTATCTAAACATGTTGGATTTACTCAGAAATCAGATACATGATATTGGTAGTCCGCCCCCCCCCGTTCCCCCCTCTTAACTGGCTAAAATTCTTTTGGGGAATTATCTGTTCCTGAAGTATGTTAACTGACCACCCTAGTTATTTCCTCATTATGATTTAATACTTTGTCACTGAAATAACTGCTCAGCCAGTGTATTTTTAATGTGTGTTTCAACTTTCAATGCATGCATACCTTTAATACTCTAATGTTAAAAATAGATCACTTAAGCAGAAGTCATTTTACATATCAAGTAAGGAATTCACAGTGTTTTTAAGGGGAAGCCAAATTTTGCATAAGGAGTATAATATTCACTTACAGACACCAGCACATCTCAGATGACAACAGATGGTTAACAGATTTAAGAAATAGGACACCACCAACATGACATGCAAAAAGAGGATGGTGATAGTAAAACAAACTCCTCCTCTTTAGTAACTAGCCACTAACAATTTGGACTTCTTTCTGTCACAGATGTTACCTAAATCTGGGTTTGATCATGCAACATATTGAGTATCTCCCAAGGGCATCTCAGAGAGCTGAGTGTGCTCCAAAGCTTGCAGTATCAGGGCTTGTGACTGTGATGTAGACTGAGTTTGAAATTTGGTTAAGTGAAAAGGTCAGAGTCAGAAAACAATAAGAAGGTCAAAAGTCAAGCTCAATCAGCCTTTTAATTCCTGAATTCTGTGACTTATGGTTTCTATTGATTCTGTTTAAATAAACTTCACTCTGATGTCTGAAAGAAGGGCAGCGTAGAGTTACCCTCCCTTTGCCTTATGTCTTTTGGAAATGTACTATGCAATTGACTATAACGAAAGCAGCTGGAATTCACTATCAAAGAAATGTCAAAGGAAAAACTCATATTCTCGAGAGGGTTTTTTTTTTTTTTTTAAAGAATCATTCACAAGATGAAAGTTAGGAATGTGCAAACAGCAGGGAAGAGGATGATTTTGTTAATTAAATGTATTTAGGTGAATTAACACCTTTCAGAAACTGCTTAGGCTTCATTAAATATTGTTGGTTTTTTTGTTTGTTTGTTTGTTTTGCTGGGCTTCACCCCAAAATGGCAACCTTTGAACCAAGATCCTGCCATTGGCAGCAGGGGTATGATGTATGACAAGGTACATTTTACTCCCCTTTTTGCCCTCCTCACAGTAGAATACCTTGCAACCAGGCATCCAGCAGGTGGTTCGGTGCACCTTTCAACATCAGCCAGTTCAGTAACCACCAACACACCTCTTCCTCTTTTAACTAGTCAGCAAGGGACACAATGGCAATTTTGTATTCCATTGCTTCTTCCTTCAGAGTTCAGAGAACTCTGGGGGCAAAAGGACTAAAGATTACAATTCACACTCAGCTCTGCAAGCTGTAGTTCAAGGCACTACCAATAATTCATTAGCTGCCCTCTCCCACCCCCTCCCCACAACTGCATTTTATTGAAATCTTATGAAAAGCTTGGATTCCATTCTGACATCTCCATATAATTTCTTCATGAAATTTCAGCATGTGTAATTTCATCAGTGATGTGCTGTTGGGAACATCAGGTCTCTGTTACATTTATGAGGTTATGACATTCAGCATCTATTCCCACATATAATATTCGGGACATATTGTCATTGCCAACAGACACAATGTATCATGCTGAATGTTCACAGAATGATGTCATCCTATACAGCTAGTTGTGAATATGATCTTCCTAAGTCCTTATCTTAATTGCTTTATGGTGAGAAAAAAGTGTGTCAGGTGCAGGGGGAATCTGAAGTAACCGAGGAAGTTGTTTCATTGCATTGAGTAGTTTGCCTAACAAGATGTATTCCGTGCAGCATCCTCAGGGTGTCATTTCATCTAAAATAGGGAGAGCATACTAGTTTGAAAAAAAAAAACCAGAAAAATATATTCTCTCCTTGTTTTTTTCCACTGGCAAAACAAATCATATTCTGTTCTTTCCCCCTAATTATATTCTTTCTTCTTCTCACAAGTGCCCTACACCCCAACTCCTTTCCACTTTCTCAGTCTTTTCTATTGACAGGGTTTAGGACTTAACACTGGAATGTGGGCCTCAAACTCCAGGGGTATGTCTAGACTACATGCCTCTGCTGGCAGAGGCATGTAAATTAGATATACTGACATAGTCAATGAAGCGGGGATTTAAATATCCCCCGCTTCATTAAAATAAATATGGCCACTGCATTGTGCTGGCTCAGCTGTATGTCAGCACAAAGCAGCAGCCAAGACGGGGATCGGTCGGCAAGAAAAGCCTTTGCCGACCTATCCCTTATGCCTTGTGAAACTAGGTTTACAGGATCGGTCGACAAAGGCTTTCCTTGCCGACCGATCCGTGTCTTGGCTGCTATGTTGTGCCGACGATCAGCTGAGCCAGCATAACGCGGTGGCTAGTTTTATTTTAATGAAGCGGGGTTATTTCTCTGTGGGTATAGTTCTCTGTGTCTACCTCCATGCATGCATGTCTCCTCAAAATCTATTTCATTGTCTACTCCTGACACTAACTCTGTTCTGCCTCCCAGGCAGCCTGTACATTTACTAATATTTTGAGGTCATTGAGTGTTATGCCATCTGCTGTGATGAGATACCTGTTGTCTTAAATTCTTGTGTGTTACAGAGCGTCTCTTGGCTGTACTCGCGATATAAGGAAAGGCCAAAAATGTCCAAGATTTGTATATGATGGTGGCCAGCTTACTTTACTACCAGACCTCAGGAGATTCCATGACACATTAACTTTGATAGCCAAATTGATAAGCACAATGGAATCTATTTCTATTGTTGCCATATTATAAAAGTGAAACACATGTGTTCTGATCTTAACATTTTTTACTTCGATTTTGTATTGGCAAACTGGAATTCCTGACACTCAAAGTTTGAGTTATTTGACATTATTATTTGAAACCTGATTTTCCATTACTTATCTAGGTTTTACACAACTGTAACATCATCAATTTCAGTGAAGTTACTCTTGTTTTACACTAGAGAAAGCAAGAAAAGAATCAGGCCTATTGTAGTAAGTGGTATCTGATGCAGAGTGTTAAAGTGAGAGACAAGATAGGTAAGGAAGTCTCTTTTATTGGACCAACTTCTGTTGTTGAAAGAGACAAGCTTTCAAGCTCCACGGTTTGTCAACCTCCAAGGCTGTTGTTTTTCAGGTCTAAGTAGCTCTATGGCTTGTTTCTTTCATCATAAAATTGGTTCAATCAAATATATTTCCTCACCTACCTTGTCTCTCTCATATCACAAAACCAACATGGCTACAGCAACCCTGCAAACTGAAGATGAAAATCAATGTATTTGGCCGCAGTTCTGATTTTACAGGTAAACATTCATTCCTTTGTCTAAGAGAGACATATTTAACAACTTTTGCCCAGTCATGGCTGTGGATATTTGAACATATTCTAACACCATCATACAGAGGAAATTCATAACTTTGCCTATAATGTTTCTACATATATTTCACCATGTTATTATTGATCAGTGAGTTATTAATTTTCAAATTATACTCAGTGGCTGTGTCTACATTGGCCCCTATTCCGTAATAGGGATGCAAATGTAGCACTTTGGAATAGGCAAATCCGCGGAGGATTTAAATATCCCCTGCGGCATTTGCATTAACATGGCTGCTGCTTTTTTCCGGCTTGTAGATAAGCCGGAGAAAAGCGCCAGTCTGGACGCGATCCTCCGGAAAATAAGCTCTTTTTCGGAGGATCTCTTATTCCTACTTTCAAGGATCCTTTCAAGTAGGAATAAGAGATCCTCCGGAAAAGAGCTTATTTTCCGGAGGATCGCGTGCAGAAAGGCGCTTTTCTCCGGCTTATCTACAAGCCGGAAAAAAGAGGCAGGCATGTTTAAGCAAAAGCACCAAATGCCGCGGGGGATATTTAAATCCCCCGCGGATTTGCCTATTCTAAAGTGCTACATTTGCATCCCTATTACGGAATAGGGGTCAATGTAGACACAGCCAGTGTGTATTTAGAAAGCATCTTCAAGTTCACTAAGAGCTCTATCAAGCTCACAAATTCACTTCACAGAGACCATAAGTTTCCCTGAGGTGGTCATAACTTTCCTATACTATTAGTGAGATTAAAACTAGGGATGTAAAGGTGAAAGTCTCAGTATAAACATGCCTGAGCATCCAGTTACTATTGAAAATGCTTTTGAACTACATACTGGGTGGTGGATAGATCAAATAGATTGAAGCAATTTTGCTTACCATTCCAAGCATATTAAAAATGCTTATTTGACACCTGAAAACCTTTAATCATAAAACAACAAAGTGAGTTGATTTGGTTTGTCCTCCAGCAGTCTGGCACTTCTGATAAAATACCTTTCTGTTTTGTTGCATTGACA